AAAAAAAAAAAAAGGTGTCCTTCCATTGCAGGTTCCTCCACAGGACATCACCCGATATGGATGGAATCATCTCCTACACAACAATCGTCATCTCCCATGTACAGAAGACAACTGGGAACATGTATGACATATGTGCTATAGATATGTGACGGATATGCTGGTGTATGGAAACGTCCAACATCCAAACTAATGGCAAGGTTGCTACCGCAGAGGAGCTGGAAACACACACAAAGTCTGTATATATGAATGTATGCATGAAAACACACATATATGTATATACAAAAACACACATGTATACATGTATGAAAACAAACACAAGTATGTATATATGAATGTATGTAAGGAAACACACACACACGTGTAAGTTTGTAAACATATGTCTGCAAGTATGAAAACCACACACACACGTTTGTCTGTATATATGAAAACACATGCATGTATGTTGTCTTTATTTATGTAAACAGAGATCTGTATATGTAAAACACACATGTATAAGTATCTATGAAAACAAAAAAGGAATATATGTAAAGACATGTATGTATACACACAGACACATATAAGTATATATGTATACACACACAGACATGTATAAGTAGGTAGGTATATGTATATACACACGCACACGTATACGTAGTTATACATACATAGACATGTATAAGTATATATGTACACACAGACATGTATAAGTACATATACATACACACACACACACACAGACGTGTACAAGTATATATACATACACACACAGACGTGTATAAGTATATATACATACACACACACGTGTATAAGTATATATACATACACACACACGTGTATAAGTATATATGCACACACACACACAGACGTGTATACGTATATATGTATGCACACACACAGACGTGTATAAGTATATATGCACACACACACACACGTGTATAAGTATATATGCACACACACACAGACGTGTATACGTATATATGTATGCACACACACAGACGTGTATAAGTATATATGCACACACACACACACACACACACACGTATAAGTATATATGCACACACACACACACAGACGTGTATACGTATATATGTATGCACACACACAGACGTGTATAAGTATATATGTATGCACACACACACGTATAAGTATATATGTATACACACACACGTATAAGTATATATGTATACACACACACACACGTATATAATGTATACACACACACACGTATATAATGTATACACACACACACATATAAGTATATAATGTATTCACACACATACATGTCTGTGTGTGTGTGTGTATACATATATACTTATACGTGTGTGTGTAAGTATATATGTATTCACACGCAGACGTGTGTAAGTATATATGTATTCACACGCAGACGTGTATAAGTAGATAGGTAGGTCTGTACATACACACAGACACATATAAGTATACAGAAGCACGCAGACATGTATAAATATATATGTACACACACACAGACAGACAGACAGACAGACAGAGGTATAAGTATATATGTACATGCACACAGTCCAGGGACACTGGTCTCCTGACTGGGGACAGTTGTGTGTTTAGTCCAGGACACAAGACATCCCTCCATAGTCATCACATCGTCCAGTGATCACTGTGACCCCTATACACACACACACCGATTCCAGAGAGGAAAACAAGCAGCACTGCACGGTGAGCCAGGACACTTCTGAAAAGTGACAACTCTCCGTGTACAGATGTCCCGGCCGGTCCCTGGAAATGAGGGGACCCCGGCCAGCCATGTCCATGGCACTCACACTACTACACATCCAGCAGTCCCCAACTTCACCAGCACAGGACTGGGGGCAGGAGGACTAATACCGAAGCCCTGTACATGGATGGCAGATGATGCTACACACACAACGAGACCAGATACTCACATATCTTCACTCTCAGGCTCTGCAGGACCCGCATAGGGGCCGCAGGCGGATCCCCGGCCTCTCCTCTCCCTCCTGCCCGCTGCTCCCCTGCCATCTCTGGCGGCAGCGGCAGACGCTCAGCCCGTGCTCTTCCGCCAGCCGAACTACTTTAGGCACAGCGTATTTAGACGAGAGAGCGGTAACCTGCCGCGGAATGATACACAGGACAGGCGAGCCTCGCCGCGACACAACCATACGTCTCTGCAGGGGGCGGGGCCTCGGGTAAAAGAGACAACTGAGAGTGGCCGTCACTTGGCCGGTGTGGTGGCCCATAGAGGCTGTCCGGGCAATGTGCAATGTTGTAGGCTATACATCCCACTATCTATCTATCTATCTATCTATCTATCTATCTATCTATCTATCTATCTATCTATCTATCTATCTATGTGTGAACCAGGAAAGGGCTGGGTGGGCATTTGCCCACCAATGAGATATGGGCTGGTAGACATGAGGGGTGATACTTTACTACAATACACTGATTAGCATGGCACCCATAAAAAGTGACACATGTGGGGGGTACTATTAATGAAAACAGTGGTGTCAGAAGGGGGTGCAGCGCGCACCCGGGTGACACCATTGGAGGGGTGACACCAAAATGACTGACAGGACAGAAGTGGACCCGGCGGCATACCTCATCCCGCCAGGTGAACGTCCCCTCCTCTCTCTGCCGGCGTCCACAACCAAGATGGCCGCCGGCAGGCATCAGATGGCCTTGCATGCACGACGACATCACCGCGTGCACGTGTGGTGACGTCACACGCGTGCGCGATGACGTCGTGGTGGGGTGTCACTCTGCCTCGGGACGCTCCAGAATAAAAAGTGTCCTAGACAAACTGTCTTACCTGGAGCACAGCCAGTCGCAGTGGCATCACAAGGGGGGTGCAGCCCGCACTGGGTGACACCATCAAAGGGGGGTGACACCAAAATCTCTGAAAAGTCGGACACTCGGTGGCAGTTAAGTGAGCGTGACTTCCACCAGCAGTCATGACATCCCAGGGGTTGCTCTGGGTGCCACCCAGTCTGGGGACGCCTCTGGCCAGTGGGCTTTTCATTTTTTACTCCGCGCTAAGAAAGATAGAAGCTGATTGGTCGCTATGAGCAACAGCACCAGTTGAAATCAAACTTACCTCAGACACTTTTTATGACTTCCCATTGTGTACAATGCATAGCTCCCCATTCACACCATAAGGCCTCGTTCAGATGGGTGGCAGGATTTATTGCCCCTCTGAAATGTATTCCATGACGGATCGCTTATCAGATGGCGGTGGAGCAGCCTTGTGTTCAGCAGGCGATACTTTTTCTTGTTTTCATCCCAATGGGAGTATTGCATTGAAATAGCGCATCACAATTGCGTACCCGCTGGATTGCGGCGCGGTCCCATTCATTGCAATTGTCCCAACATGCTGTTTAAAATTGGCTGCAGCACGTATACAGGGCTCACCGGCCAACATTGTACCTCTTAGGTGGGCGGCTGGAGAGGGGCGGTAAAAACGCGGATCCACCGCCTGGTTTTACCACCCGTCCATACGAGGCCTTACCCAGAGGGAACTCTTCCAGCACCAATTTCCTTTGCAGTTCTGATATGTAATGAAATGGAAAGGACTCGTAAACACCATCTGGGGTGCATTCTGCTTCATAGACTGCGCCCTCGCTGTGTGCGTTGTGAAGGGCGATGCCTTGTTACTTATCACTGTTCACCTTTTTTTTTAACATCATTGAAATGTCACAGAATGATATTTCACTCAACTCTATGCACGGCAGCACATTGGGACGCACTGCAGTGACATGTGGTGCGGTGGTGTGCGCTGTATATAAATGCAGAAATTGGTCAGCATACGCCGCCGCACATGTATGGCGTTAACAGGGCACTTAGAAAATAATTGTTTTTATTTGTCTTTGGGTTCGTTCACACCATAGGGCAGTGCGTTCTGGTCAGAATTGGACCGGAATGCACTGCCCGTATTGCGGCCGGCTCACTTTTTTGCCGGGCTGGAGGGGGCGTGGCGGGCCATTGAAGTGTGGTCCGGTGCGAGCAAAATGCTGCAAGCATTATTTTGATTGCACCGGACCGCACTGCAGGCACAATGTCCCTTGCAATCCCGTGCGTGCGATCGCATTGCGGCCGCAGGGCGTGGCTACGGTGCCATTCACTTCAATGGCCCGCCACGTCCCCTCCAGCCCCCCTCCAAAACAGTGAGCCGGCAGCAATGCGGGCAGTGAGTTTCCAGTCCGATTCTGACCGCAACGCACTGCCCTATGTTGTGAACAAACCCTTTATGTTGAGTCTCCATTCATCTGCATAGCAGCTCAACAGACATGGTGTGACCAAGTCACAAGGAAGCTGATGCTGGAGGACATCAAAATATGTGACATGTTCTTTAGGAACACCCACTATTCACTATGTCCACCAATCACTGCAGCACCATGGAGGACTTTACGTGGTACACTTTGGGCTTCATTTATAACATTTTGCACTTATCAGTATAGGAATTTCATATTTGCACGGCACTGCACTGCCCTGCCCTAGATGGCACTGACGAGTATAGGAATTTCCTATTAGCCTGTTTGCACTGCACTAGCGCCCCCTAGATGGCACTGACGAGTATAGGAATTTCCTATTAGCCTGTTTGCACTGCACTAGCGCCCCCTAGATGGCACTGACGAGTATAGGAATTTCCTATTAGCCTGTTTGCACTGCACTAGCGCCCCCTAGATGGCACTGACGAGTATAGGAATTTCCAATTTGCCTGTTTGCACTGCACTAGCGCCCCCTAGAGGGCACTGACGAGTATAGGAATTTCCTATTCGACGCTTTGTACTGCACTAGTGCCCCCTAGACGGCACTGACCAGTATAGGAATTTTCTATTTGCCATTTGCACAACACTAGCACCCACTAGAAGGCACTGACGAGTATAGGAATTTCCTATTTGACTGTTTGCACTGCACTATCGCCCCCTAGATTGCACTGACTAGTATAGGAATTTACTATTTGCACTGCACTAGCGCCCCCTACATGGCACTGACCTGTATAAGAATTTTCTATTTGCCTGTTTGCACTGCACTAGCGCCCCCTAGATGGCACTGATAAGTATAGGAAATTCCTATTTGCCTGTTTGCACTGCACTAGCGTGCCCTAGACGGCACTGACGAGTATAGGATTTTCCTATTTGCTGTTTGCACTGCACTAACAAACCCTAGACGGCGCTGATAAGTATAGCGATTTCCTATACTCCTCAGCGCCATCTAGGGGCGTTAGTGCTTTGTGAATAGCATAGCCAGGGTGAACGTTTATAAATGTTTAGCCCACAGGTATGTATTCCTACCATGGTATGTTTTGTTTGCCCCCCTGACCACAGGTGTCTAATCCTCCCCTGATATGAACCTTTAGTTGTGGATTCATAGCAGCACTACTACAGTAACATACACATTATTGCAATGCACATTAACATACACTATATGCATTAGCACGTTGCGGTGTCATACATTACAGAGGAACAGCCATGGACAGATGAGGCCGCTGTCACCCTGTCTTTAACTTGAATGGGTATGTCAGCTGCTTCTGTACAGACAAACCTGGGATTCCTTCCACAAGAATTTGCAGGTTCTTCCTGCAGGAATCCCCAGACACCCTTGGGCATGAGGTCTTAATAGGTGGTCAGAGGCAGATTTTAATCTGTCGTATTGCTACTTTAGAGCAGCAGAGGGATGAATTTTTGAATGCAGCTGCCTAATTACAATAAATCTGTTTTATAATCTCTCATAGTGTCTCATATTTCATACCGTCACTGCTTCTTTTTGGCAATACCATGTTTTGCGATAGAATGTATTAATGTCACCCTGTGTCTCTTTACAATACATGTATTACACCCCTTTGGTCAATTCAGTCTTCCACTAATAGAAGTGCCTGTGGAATATTTAGTAGCGATGTACCGAAACCAGTTTTTCTGTATTGAGTACGAGTACCGATATTTATCTTTGGGTACTCGCCGATACCGAGTACCGATACCAGTACTTCCGCTAGCAGGGAGCCGGCTTCCCGATCAATCAGGAAGCTGGGTGGGGTGTCATTACCAGCCGCCTGGCTTCTTGATTGCCCAGGAGGCCGGCTCTGTGCCGCTTGGCCAGCTCAATGCTGATTGGCTGGGAGGCTGACTCCCGGGCGGCAAATCATTACCAGCTGCATGGTTCCTGTTTGGCCCCGGAAACCGGCTCCATGTTCCCTCGCGGCACTGACGATAAGAGGAAATCTCCCTCTGACCGGAGGTTCCAGTATCAGGGGAAGTATCGAGCATTTGGTCAAGTATGAGTATTTGCCCAAATACTCGGTATCGGCACAGATACCAATACTAGTATCGGTATCAGTGCATTCCTAATGTTTAGCATCTGATACTTTGTTGCTGTGTTTTGTCTGCTGCCCCCAGCCACCACTATCCACCACATCACTATCGTACCTTGTAGGGATATACTAGCAATGTAATGGTTGGCAAATGAAACCACAATGCAGGTATTCAACACACCAGGAAGTGCTAGATCTGGAAGATCCTAGCATGCTTCTAGCTGAGCAAGAGAGTGAGGTGAGGGGATATTGGGGGAGTACTGCATGTATTTTACAAAGTTAGGATTTCTGTATCCTAATGAAAGTGTCTTTTAAACGATCGTTCAGTTACAATTAATTCTGCAAAAAATCCCCCCACCCCATCCGCA